ACATCTTGGAGTGGTGGCTCCATTCCTTAGGTGAATTACTTGGAGGAATTACTGTCTAGCACCCTCTCATACCCTGTGACTAAATCTCTCCCCCCTCTCTCTCTTCCTATCTCTCTTCCTTTCTCCTCTTCTCTCTCCTTCAGATTTAACAAGTAAAACCAAACTAAACCAAACAAAAATCAAAACCCTAGCTCCCAAGCACAGGAGTTTTGGAATTGCTGACCTCTCTCTCACTCCCTTGATAAACAAATACATAGATAAATGCAAATATATGCTGTATGTATATTATGTGAAACCAAATGCAATTTGACCCACAGGCAATTTTATGGAGCTTGACTCTAATGCAAATGTTTACATTGTAGTTGTATAGATAAATCATATGTTTGAAATCAGGCTTTGTCTCCACTCCAATAGCTATAAAGGATGTTTCCTAGTAGAGAAGTATTTTTGCTGACCCATCTAACTGTATTTTTGACATATACCTTTTTCCTGAGATTGTTTTCTACTTCCTATCATCCTTCTATCCCTAAATCCTACCCATACCTTCAAGCCCTGGTACCAAGTCCATATCTGCCAAGAAGTCTTAGATGACCCAATCCCTCACTAATTTTCCAGACCTCTAATCTCACATAGCATTCACAAGTTGTATCACACACTGTACTACTTAATTTTATGTAGTCTTTCCTTGTCCATTGTTTTCTCTGCCCAGAATTATGATTGTAACCTGACAATAGGGGTCCATCTTTAACATATGCTCCAAGAGCATTTAACATTTGTTGACTGATTACTTTCTTATTAGTAAACTAGGTTGATAGCAAAAATTAATAAATAAATATTCCCTCTTGTAGGGGAAGCAGTTCACTTAATAGAAACCCTTTGACTACATTAAACATAATTTTATTTTATTCCTCTTGCTATATTGTGGCTCTCCTGTCATTGTGGTTTGGAATGTCAATATCTCGAATGCTAATATTTAGGTCACATAAAATCTCATGAAGAAAAAGCCATCTAATCAATTTTCAAAGAGCACTCACTGTCAGAGATAAATCCACTCATTTTTAAAACTTTTTTAAATTGTAAAATAAAAAACAGATACAGAAAACTACCAGCAACAAATATATAGCTTAATGAATTGTGTAAGTTGGACTTGAACTGTTTCTTTGCTCTATTTCCTGCAAAATGGCATTTGGATCTATAGGTTTAATCAGACTAAGTAGGTTCCATCCTTTGGGAAGGCTCTAGGAGTGTGTTCTTTCTTTAGAAGATACATTATGCCTAGGTTTCTCTATTTTATCTTAACAATCATGAATGCTTAATGCCCAGATCCATTTGTTCATTGGGGCTGCAAAATAGTAATATTTGAATTCTATCATTGAGTTTTCACTTGTTAGTTGGAATAATATTATAAGTGTATGCTTCCCCTTCACACGCTGTGTGGTTACATAACTGTAGAGTTTATTTAAGAAAAACATAATGAATGTTTGATTCTTTAGCTGGTTTTCAAGATAGTAATTTGGTTCTCTGTCAACCTCAGAAGTGACCAGCTTTTATTATTTTTTAAAAATACCTTTATGAATTCATACATTCATGTATATTTGTTGGGTTTCAATTCATTGCAACTCTCACCTTTATTGAATATCAGATTGTCTTCATCTTTGGTCTGTGGGAGCCTTTTTCATTTGATTCCTGAATCCATTTGACATGAGCCTATTAGTCTTTGGTTGTTTCCTTTCTATCTGGTTACATCAAGATGTTTCAAGCTCAATTGTTATGTGTCCTATCTCAGACCAGGAATCAACCAGTTTTACAAGAACCTCTTGTTTCTTGCAGTGCAAAAAAAAAAATTTTTTTTTCAAAATCCCTATCTGGGCTTTAGGGGTATTTGTTATTGACAATGTCTCTAGACTTCTTCAGTGGATGGAACTAGGACAGACATAAAATGCCTTTTGAGTTGAAACTGATTTTCTGATTAAATTTTAGGAATGTAAGACTTTACATACCTCTTCTATTTTACATCAATATGTCCTTTCATCCACACTAATCTTCTGGTTCTCAAGGACACAGGAGATGATGTAATTATAATTTCTCATGATTATTCATTTGCTTTATCCCATATTACATTAGTTGCAGAATAACTAATAATATTATCACCATCAATAATTATTGAAACATTGATTTGTGCATACACTACCCCTAGTCTCCCTTATTTTTGACTTATGACTGTAGGATAGCTACAATATCAGAACATGTAGCCATTACAAAATAAAATCTCCCCCTTTTAACTCTTACTTAGTCTTAGTTCCTAACATTTGTTGTTCATCAGTTTACCATTGGGGTATCTACCCTGGTCATTTAGGAGCTCATTTCTCAGTAGTTCAGTAGTTCTCAGGATCATGGGAGTAATACTCCCTGGTTACTTATATGTTGATAACAGCTTGGGTGTGCCCTTTATAGTTAGGCTAACTTTTGTTAACTATAAAATCCTTGAATCACATTTTTTACCTTGGGTATTTCAAATAAATTACTTCAGTTCCTTCTGGCATAAAATGTGGCTGTCCAAAAGTTTGATCATAATTTAAGTTTCCCCCCTTTTTTTTTGTTATATAGCCAGATTTATTTTCCAAAATTTACAGAAATTTCCAGACTCATCACTGCTCTTGAGAAATGGTATATGAAAGTATTGTTTTCCTTGTAATCTCATGAACACTGGGCATTAACACGATCTTATATTTTTGCCAATCTGAAGGGCCAAAAGTTTTATTTTATTGTTGCTTTTCTTTTCATTTCCCTGAATATCAATTCTCCTTGGGCTATATGCAATGTTCTTACTAATTTGAAGAACTACTTGTATCTTAACAAGATTAACCACTTTTGTGTGTATAGCAAATATTTTCTTTCAACCTAAAATTGTTCTTTTTTTATTATGTTATATTAATCACCATACATTACATCATTAGTTTTTGATGTAGTGTTCCGTGATTCATTGTTTGCATATAACACCCAGTGGTCCATGCAGTACGTGCCCTCTTTAATACCGTCACCAAGCTAACCCATCCCCTCACCCCCCTCCCCTTTAGAACCCTCAGTTTGTTTCTCAGAGTCCATAGTCTCTCCTGGTTCATCTCCCCCTCCGATTCTCCCCCCGCTTCATTTTTCCCTTCCTACTATCTTTTTTTTTTTTTTAACATATATTATTTGTTGATAGACATTGGGGAGGGCATGTGCTATGGTAAGCACTGTGAATTGTGTAAGACTGTTGAATCACAGACCTGTACCTCTGAAACAAATAAGTTTCCCCCTTTCAAGTCATGTATTCTTTCTGTCCAGATGCCTAAAAGATTTTTTTTAACTCAGCAAAAATTTCTTGAATTACACTTTTTAGTATTTGTTCTGTTTCCTTTCTTTGGTTTTCCTCCTCAAGGACAACTATTACTCGTCTATTAGACCTTCCTTCTCTTCTGTTCATCACTCTCTCCTAAATTCTCTTGTACTCTCTCTTAATTTCTTTTTGTTTTGTTTTTTCTTGTGCTTGTTTGTTTGTCTAGGTACTCTTTATTTTTAAAAATATTTTTTTTACTTAGTCTTTCTTGAGTTATACCACCTCATTTCTGAGTTTTTTTCCTAATTTTAATTCATGTTACTCTTGCATATCTGGCATTTAATTTTCTTAATGTTGTTTAGCTCATTTTGAAATAGTAAATTTCAAAGGTTTGATCTACTTTCCTTGCGTATTTTCTTTTCTTTTCTTTTTTTTTTAAAGATTTTATTTATTTATTTATTTGAGAGAGAGAGAGCATGAGAGGGGGGAGGGACAGAGGAAGAAGCAGACTCCCCGCCGAGCAGGGAGCCCGATGCGGGACTCGATCCCGGGACTCCAGGATCATGACCTGAGCCGAAGGCAGTCGCTTAACCAACTGAGCCACCCAGGCGCCCTCCTTGCGTATTTTCAATCTCTTTGGGAGTGTGCTTGTCTACAGGAATGGTATACTCCTCAGTTTATTTTGTAAGGTATTTAGCCCCAGCAGATTTTTGGGGCTTGCTTTCTTTCACATGACCTGTTCCTCTACGTTCCCAGATGTTCAAATAGCTTTTTTAAATACACAGAGCTCCCTCTCCCGTTGTTTTCATTAGACCAGAGCCGAGGGTTCAGCAAACTTTAGCCTGCAGGTCACATTGGCTCAGGTCCTATTTTTGTTTGAACCCCATTGAACTAAGAATGGTTTTTGCATTTTTGAAGAGCTGTAAACAAACAAACAAATGCAGGTGAATACATGACACAGATAATGTGGGCTGCAGAGCTAAATATTTACCATCTGGGTCCTTTACAAGAAAAGTTGGCCAAACCCTGATACACACTAAAAACTGTACAGCAGCTTGCTTTCCAAGTTTTCATGACTTTGCTCTCTTCTACTTTTATCTGGACCTTCTCTTCCCTTCATTTCTGTTGCTTCTGTCTGCTCAAATTTTAACTCTGTTGCCAGCAATTTGTCCCCGGTGTAAGTCCTGTCCTGGAGAGGAGATTTTGCAGGCTAGTTTTGTGTACTTATATTTACTGTCCACAGGTTGGCCTGCTGCATTTTCTAGCATTAGCTGATAGGTATTTTAGAACTATTTCTGTTTTGAAGTTGGATGCCTCTCTCTGATTTCTCCTACACAGATGCTGATAAACACGCAAGTCCTAAGGTTGTTGGTGGTTTGTCCACATGCAATTATATTTCGGGGTTTGAGAGTATAGCTCATTGCCTACTTTTGTTGGAATTGTCCAAGTGCTTGTGGTTGTCTATCTAGTCAATCAGTCTCTTATTATGGGAAGATTCAGGAAGATTAAAAACTGTATTGTCGCCCCTACCACCTGCTTCCCAGAATCACACTCACTCATTTTTAAACAACAACTTACTTAGTAGATTATATTAAATTTTATTGCAGGAAAATGTTTACCCTGGATATTTCAGTACACTAAGTAAATCATCATGTTTATTTTCTTTCTGTTTTTTCTCCAGAGTCAAGTTCCCATTACGTAATCTCCCTAAAAGCTTTTAACAATGCAGGAGAAGGAGTTCCACTTTATGAAAGTGCCACCACCAGATCTCTAACAGGTAAGCTGAAATAGTTTATCCTCTTATGACAAGGTAGCCAGTGTTTAAGTTGTGGTGGGGAAAAAAAAAAAAAAACCTAAAGCAAAATACAAAGGAAAAAAACAAACAAAATGTATGTAGTCATGTTCTGAGCCTTGAGTGTGTATGTGTGCATGCATATTTGTGTTTACGTGCATATACATATACACACACACATAGTTCATTATCTTCTTGGTTTACAAAATTAAGTGAGAGGAAGTCAATCTATAAATTAATATGTGGACTTAGAGAATATAGATCTCTCCTTCTCTGTCTTCTCTCAGTAGCTCATATTTTGGTGGCTCGATACCACTCTTCATGCTCGTGTGCATCTTGTTTCATCTTGCAAATCAGTGCAATTGAGGCAGGAAAGTTTCTGTGCAAAAGCCACCAGATGCCCAAATGGCCACTTGCTTCTCTACAGAGGATCCTTCAAACTAATGTGACAAGGAAGGACTGACCTCCTGGGACTGGTTTAGACTAGGCTGAGTCAGACAGGTGGCCTATAGGTCACCCCAGCAGTGCCCAGAGCCTTATGATATTTAAAAGTGTGGCTGCTTCCGGGGTTTCACACCTCTAGGAATTCTTATGTGAGTTGGACTGTAAAGGCAGAACACACACAAAAAAAGAGCTGAAGGAACTCAGAATGGAATGGATAAGAGAGTGAGATTCAGGACATTTACAGAGACTATTTGTGAGCAAGGCTGGGCTTACTCAAAAATAGAATAAATACCACTCCTGGGGGGCTGTTCAGAGTCACTGGAAAGTCACACAACCATCCCCAATAGCCTTAGGTCTGAAATCTGGAAGTAAAACCCAAGAGGTCCATCTGTTTAGTGAATTCTTTGATCCTGCCCCATTTCAAAATCCACAAGCCTCAGACCTCATTTAACTCATCAGTTACTTTCACCTTAATGAGAATAAAAAATCTGAGAGCAGGATTTCATAGTGAACACTAGAGAACATGGAAAACTACTGGGTGCCTGAGTATGAAGTCCTGACAAGGAGGAATAAATCACCTTGGAATAAATAGTGGGATCTGTGACTTCTGCTACCACCTAAGTTTATGTAAACTTTGTACAGTTTATTTTCCAAACCTATAAGCTCCATTCATAGGCTCTCTTGAGAATATACAGTTTTAAAGTGAATTCACAGTTGTTACATGATGGTTTCCAAATATACCATCACTTCATTAATTTCAACCAGATTTTCTTGTAAGGCAAAGTTGTTGTTCCAGAGTTTGCTTGAATCTTTGGCTCCTGTTTTCAAGGTCTATGATCTGCCTAAAGTGATATGAAAAATTTTGGGTATGTGTCAATGTATTTCTTTATCTGTGGAGACAGTATGGCTCTCTCATTGTGTTATCAAAAGGGCTCATGTCTCCCCAAAAGGGCAAATAGGCAAATAAGAAGTATTACCTGAGAGAATGTCTACTGTCAAACATATTATCTCTAAATAAGATGAGGTGTATGGAGGTCCAGAATAGGAAACCATGAGATAACATGATGGAGGTGTCTAGAATTTTCACTTCCCCTTATTCTCTTGTTCTGCCAGTAGCAGTGTTCTTTGGGAGGTAGCAGGTCACTTTAGCTCTACTTGTTCTTTCCATAATTTGTATTTAGTAAGCTATCTCTTTCCTGTCAATGGTAGAAGATGTTGAGCACCTGCTCATCAATGTGACCTTGAGCTTGTGATCAGGCAACACAAATTATACTATGGCTAGTCTTTTCAAAGACCACTTTCTTACCAAAACGAAAGCCCACAAAGAAGAGACACTCAGGTGACCAAAAAAAAAAAAAAAATCAATTTTGAGCAGAAAGCAGTAGTAGTAAAAATAGAGTTTACATAAACCAAAGATAAGCTGCTCACAAAGAACCATTTGGGACATTAACTTCTGCCTTCACATTTGTTGTCATTCTTTAATCCTTGGCATATGGCATTCCCAGAGTAGTTTCCAAAACACCAGTGATCCATAAGACTATTTTTCTCTAATAAGACTCTAATCCTAATGGATCTGGAGGAATGAATGGATACCAAAAGCTGGAAATTATGTGAGGCATTTTCTTATTGAAGTAAAGTCAGTAGGGTTTGAAGAGGAATGAATAAAACCAGTCCTTTCTTGGATGTGGCAGACTTATTTTATTGTGTTTCCACACATCATGGAGAACAAAGGACAAATAAATAGAATCAAAGGTTAAGGTTCTGGGAGAAATTCTATCAATAAATGTGTCATAGTGCCACAGAGAAGACATTCTCTGTCTCTGAGCTCTGTAAGTATTCCCATGAGCAGACGTGGAAGAGGCCAGCATAAAATAAATAAAAAATCAGAGGCAATAAATGCATCAGACTGGAGTAAGTATCAGGCCATGATGATTTCCACAAACACCTGCTCTTAGGTGGAGCCTCTTCTCTGGAGCCTCATCTCATCCTGAGCATATTAGTATTAGAGCTGAGGAAAGTTTCACCAGGTCAAATGGGTGTGTTAAGAGTTTTATTTGTGCAGTAGAGCTTTTTAGTTCTTAATGTTGCAAGAACAAGACATTCTGAGCCTGGAGAAGGGAAGAAGGCAGGGGAATAAGGAGGTGTGTTCTTTGAATTTGTTTATTCTCAACTGCTTTATCAATGTCTGAATGAAGTATAATCCAGATGTAAAATTATGTTATTATTTTAAAAGCTTGTTTTGAACTTTAGTATGTGAACTGAAAATTCATGAACTCTTACCAAAATATTTATTAGGAATTGAATAGGCTTCTCTTTTTAGCAAAAGGTTTGAGGCTATGTTTTTTTCTTTTTAATTTTTATTTAGTTTTTACTCTTGAATATAACCACTGCAAATCAACAGCATATAAGGCACCTAAAAACTGGAAAAAAGTTGTTTAGCAACAAAAAATGGTGTTTTTTAACCAAAAAAAAATGCTTTTAATTTAACTGTGCTGAGAGAAAGATAATTAGCAGTGTATGGAGCATACATGTATTTAGAATAGTGCTCGCTCTCCACTAGAACATTCTGCTTTGTTGGAAAAGCTCTATATACTATCCAAGATGATAGACTGGCTTGTATGGCCGTGGGATACTTAAAATTGGCTAGTGCAACAGAAGAAGTGGTTTTTAAATTGTATTTAATTTTAATAATTTAAATTTAAATTGTCCGTGTAATTAGTGGCTCTTGTATTAGTACAGATCTAAAGGAGATGGCAAGTAGAATGACAAGCCATGCCTGAAAACAAATTCGCTAAAAAAAAGCCAAGAAAAACTTGGCCAGGGATAGAAATTCTTAAATTATGTAAGTCCATAGATAAATACCAACAAACATTACTTGAAATTTGAGGGACACATTCTGGAACTGAGACTCCAAGAAACTCCACAAGTCATGAAAAATATACTATTGTAAAATCCAGGAAGAGCCAGAGTGGGTGTTAGAATTTCTTGAAGTAGAATCACTACTTTTCAAAACCTTATCTATGGCACCTGTGGCAGATTATTAAATTCATATCGGTTTAAAAACCAGGTTAAGCAAAGAAACAACATATATGGTATAACACATTATGTAGGTTGGTCAAAAAAGAAGTTTGTGATTCAGAATAGTCTTCCTGTTGTGTATAACATTCTTTTTGGAAAGTCGGCTAAGAATAGAAACAAGGGGGGCAGCACCTGTTTCAGTTTGGCCAAAACACCTGCCACGGATACACCGACCTGATGACTGATCGGGATCCTCCTGGAGGCTCTTCAGCTCCCCCTTCATCATTTCATAAATCCATTTGGGTTTAAAGGAGCCCTTAATAAAAAGACACAATCAAAGGAAATACGGAAAGCCTGGGCTCTGTCATTAAATTTTAAACATTTTTCTTTCTCTCTCTTTCTCTTTTTTTTTTCTTTCCTTTTGTTCTGTTTTTGTTTTCAGGTTTTGTATTTTGCTCCAAAGACCACAGCCCAGTAAACTACTAAATAATTCATTGGAAAACAGAGCGATGAGTAGGGGGTAGGCATTTGAAATACGGTGGACAAAGTGAAGTAGTCATCAAAACCAGGCAATAACTGCTGTGCTTGGAACTAGGCTATTTAAAAATGTAAACTCTGTATGTACACTGCTTCAGATACTCTACATTTTAGCAGGTCAGCTCCCCAAATGTCCTCAGATGCCCTGCCTGAGGGCTTTCTTTCTTTCTTTCTTTTTTTTTTTTTTGTTAGTGAGAATACATATTACATGATTTAAAGGTAAAATTTCAAAAACTGAAAAGTCTTAGGTATAAAAGGCTCAAAATTGGACTCTTACTATGGCCACAAGACAAACTCTTCTGATTCTGATATCCGCAGCATAAAAATGAGTACAAAATTTTTCTAGAGAATTTTCTAAAACCACACACGTCATCATGCAGGTTCTGATTATGTTAATAAGGATCAAAGCCTGTATGTACCTCCCACAGTTCGTTCTGTCTCCCCAGCCAATAACATAAAGTTTTCCCATGGAACTTGATACTTTGGAACAAGTAATATGGAATATAGGTATGCCTTAAGAGCCTTAGTTAATTACTCTGTGGGAAAGTGGGTAAAACAGAAAGTGGGTAAAACAGATACGTCCATACTTTCTTTAATGATTTCAGTCTAAGAAAACCTGCCACACCAAGTGCTAGAAGAAACCTAGTTATCAAACATATCACTGGGGCACACGGGCCATGGACCTGGTCAGTCTGGCTTTACGCAATCATAGCCATAGACGGATTGCTGTAGACCACAGAGCCCTTTGGGCTTTATTACTTGTTTCTTGCCTAAACAATATTTATGCAGATATAAGCTAAGCAATAATGAAAGCATTAGAGAAACCGAATCAAGTTAGAAAAGGAGAAAAATAAACAAACTTAAAAGAACAGATATTGGATAGGCATTTATTTCCTTAACAGGAGGAAATAAACCAGACACTCCTTTTGATCTTGTTATTTTAAGTTATCTGTATAGTTATAAAACTGACAAGTTCTATACTAGACCTTTTAAGAAGCCAAGTGCAAAACTCCAAGACGAAATGGGCTTTTAAAATATATAGCTAAAAGTGACCACCAGAAGTGGAGCTGATAAAACCACTATAGGGAAATGAGTGAGTTACAGAAAATAGTATTTTTGTAATAGAGCAATACTGTTTCGAATGAGTTTTCCGATTGAATTAATTGTATTTTTTTCTGTTCTTCTCATGTTCCCTTTCATCATTACTGCCATGCATTTAACTCATTGTGACGTGTTACCACTGATATTTATTTTTTTAACTCTTTTATTTATGTATGTATTTGTTTGTTTCATTTGGCGGGTTTTAAACCCAGATCCCACTGACCCCGTTGATTATTATCCTTTGCTTGACGATTTCCCCACCTCGGCCCCAGATGTCTCCACCCCCATGCTCCCACCAGTAGGTGTACAGGCTGTGGCTCTTACCCATGATGCCGTGAGGGTCAGCTGGGCAGACAACTCTGTCCCTAAGAACCAAAAAACATCTGAAGTGCGACTTTACACTGTCCGGTGGAGGACCAGCTTTTCTGCGAATGCGAAATACAAGGTGAAGTTCTAACTGATAGCGTAAAATTTAAGATGAACTGTCATTTGCTTAATACATTGTTCTCGATGCTTCCTGGGCTGTCGTGAGTCGTTTTGTTGCAGGGGCACTAAATGGAAAAACAAAGCATTTTAATAACACAGTATCTAAAATTAGAATGGGAATAATTGTATCTTAGGAAGCAATTCTAAGGCAAGGTAGAACAACATCAAGAAATGCAAAATGTTGTCTAAATTCCACCAGATGCTGCGCTTGTGTAAATGATTTGATTCTGTACAAGGAAATGCCATTTTCCTTTAAAAATAGTGGGGCTCCACTTTCGTTTTCGGGATAGATTTTGGTGTCTTTCTTTTTATTTGGAATCTAGATGGACACCAAAGTCAACCCTGTCAATGTTACAAAGACCCATCTTATAGTGCACATGCCTGGGAACACAGCTGGAAGATTTTGTTACAAAGTCCTTAGAAAGCACTCTAAGCCGTTAGCATCTACTTTCTCAATTAGCCTTGAAACACGCTCATGTGGTAAAGAAAACCACAGTGCACATTCTCCTTTAACTAACATGAATTAGACCAACCCCTTTCACTGAGTCATCCTACAACCCTGCTAAGAGCTCAGTAGAGATGGATTGTGGAGGCATTGTCTTTACTACTTCTGAATCTCCATCAGCCAGCCTTAGCAACTCCAGCAAATAGTTATATACAGGGACAATTTTGTTACCTCCTAAGCCTGCCATAATGTTAGTATATGCAAACAATACACAAAATGTAGTCTAAAATGAGAAAATCAACAAGTGACTATCAAGTACCTACTATGTACCTAGAGCTGTGCTAGATGATAGAGGCAGTTACACACAGTTTAGTTGTTGCTACTTAACATATCATTTATAATCTTGGAATGAGTAAGACACTCAGTTCCATTGATCCATTGATACACTTCAAAGAATTCTTAAGTTATTCAAGTGACATAATATATGAAAATGCATTTAAAACATAAAGCTTCACAAGATGTTGATTTGGGATGAAGAAGATAGCTTTATTTTTTTTAAGACTTTATTTATTTATTTGAGAGAAAGAGACAGAGATAGCAACAGAGATAGCGAGAAGAGAGCATGAACAGGGAGGAGAGGGAGAAGCAGGCTTCTCGCTGAGCAGGGAGCACGACATGGGGCCTCGATCCCAGGATCCCGGGATCATGACCTGAGCCAAAGGCAGACGCTTAACCGACTGAGCCACGCAGGTGCCCCAAGAAGATAGCTTTAAATATAAGATCATACATGTTCCCCAGTAACCAAGGAGCCAGTAGTTCAATCCTGGCACTCCAGCTTCTTCAGATGCCCCTTATCTGAGAAGAGAAGATCCCTTCTCTTTACCATTCCACTGGGGTAGCTCTCAGAGAGAATTTGAATCTCCTGATATTTCATCCAGTGTCCTTCCCACTAAACTGCCATCTTGCTTAATCTAGCCTCTAGCCAAGTGGTGATTTCAGGAATGACAACATCCTTTGGGAGTGTCTGACTCTAAAGACCCTGGAGATAAATCAAAATCCCACCAGTAATGTTGTAAATCTGCCTCTTTCTTCCTGTAGGCATGCTGGATCTGTTTCTAGTCTCTTTCAACTTTTAAGTGGTATAAAATTCACATTTCATCATAAATCAGTTTTTAATTGAAACCATTTTAAAAAGCTTTCTTTGGTACTGTCACCCTGCTAGGTCAGGTATTTGGAAAAACTCTCCAGGCAAGTCCAAATAGTATCATTGATATAACATATGTTTTAAGTACCCTATCCATCTCCTTGCAGTATTAGATTTAAGGCTCAGCAGAACGATAAATAAAGATAACATTATCAGATAAGACAACCAATGAAACATATGAGAACATTTTAAAAAAAAAAAAGTCTCTCTTTATATACAGATTGCCCAATTCTAAGTTTACTTTTAAAAGACTACTTTAAAAATTTTATGCCCATAGTTGCTGTACTTTGTCGATACATTCATTTCACAGAATGGCCCCAGGTACTTTGCCAGTATGTGAAATGTTCTGAAGGACAATGATTGTTCTCTGCAGAATGGCTTAAGTTCCAGAATTTCTTGAAGCAGATTATTTTGGTTGAATAGTTCATACCAGCACACATGGAATTATTGAGTCTCACAAAGAATGCCTGTAAGACTCAACCCAGTAACTATTCCTTGTAAGCGGAGGCTGATTTCTCTCATGGATTGAAGTTTGGGTATAGAAAAAACATTCTGTTGCCCTCCGTACACACCTATACTCTACATCTTCACCCTGAGAAGAAGAGTTTTAGAGGAAAGGGTGATATAAGTTGGATCGCAAGGATAAATACAGACCATATCAAGCCCACTAGAAAGTAATACAGTAAGCTTACATTTTACAAATAATGTTAATAGGGTGCTTTGGTTTTACATTGTGAACTTCTCAAACTACTTTCATACCTATTACTTCATCTCACTCCCCAGCACAGCTTTATAAGGTAGGCAGAACATAACACAAGATAGAGGGGGAAAAAAGAAATACATGGAGTCTAATGACTTGGGTGCAAGAGTTGGCTTTACCATGTCCTGTCATGTCATTGAACTTGCTCAATCTCATTTTTCCCATCTGTATGATTGGAATATTCACACCTACTATAAAAAGAATAAGATTCTCCATAGTTAAGCATGTATGTAGATCCCTTTATAAAGACATCATTAGGTTGTATAACTTGAAAAAGTTTTCCCATGAAACTTCAGCTGGAGCTCAGGTGACCTAATGGCATTACCCAAGGCTATCCCCACAGGAGTACCCTTCCACTTCATTTAATCCCAAATCAAGCCATATTCCAGACATTTATATTTTGATTGTCTAAAACTCTGTTTTGATTTTCCTTATCAGAAGGGGGAATTTTCTGTAATTTACTTTCTATTGAAATGATTAATCACATGTTTTATATAAATTTCTATTCAAAATACATTCACTGAGTATTGACTAGTGCTTACCAGATATAACATGGCTATTACAGAAGATACAAAGTTGTGCAAGCCTCAGTCACACCCTCAAGATACTTACAATTCAATAGGGAACTTAAGGCATGCCTAAAGTTACATATCATGTTAGACAATGCATGAAATATTGTAGCTAACATTTAATATGTTCCCTGGACCAGATACTATGTTTTGCTTTACAGACACTTTAAATAATGCTAGGAGGTCAGTGGTATGGTTATCTCCATTTTATGGATAAGGAAGTTGAGGCTCAGAGGGGTAGTACCTGTTGCATTCTATGCTCTCAAAAGTAACTGGCCAAAGTACTTCTAGGCTAATGATTTATTCTGAACAATAACCTTCCATTAAGTTCCTGAGAAAACCCAGTGAATCCATGGTATTTATAGAAGGCAAGTGCGTCATTCTAAAACACAAACAAGGACAGTATTGCTTAGCGGCCTCCCAAACATCAGTGATCTTTATGTTCAAAGAGACTAGTTTTATAAAAGTATGATCTTTTCTTCCTAGCTGAAATATTTCTCATTGTCCCATTTCTCCCCTTATTTCCATTTCTAAGACTTAGAGGTGTTCACGACAGTGAAGGAAGACAGGGTTGGAAGTTATGTTTCAGCTTGTCAGATACTAGCTGCCCATGTTGTGTTTTATTTGATGAAATTCTACCTTCCTGAGTCTACACAGTATTTTTACATTTACTCAGGGCCCACGTTTTTACAGCTATTTTAAAGAAGAGCTTCTGATAGATGTTTATGAGGTCATCACTTTATTAAGATGGATGGGCACATCATTAAAATGTTATTAGTACAGTTAAATATTTATTTGGTTTTGTAATGAAATGTAGGATTTTCATAGCTATAATCTAAGGATTCATAGTAGAATAAAAAAGATATACCACACTACAGTGGTATAGGAGGAGATAGGTGTGACATAAGTGGGGAAAAAGAGCTTTCCTTGATTTTCTAAACAGAGATATTAACAAATATAATAAATATAAAAGTGAAGGTAAATAATAAACTTTGGGAAAAAATCAAGATCTAAATACCAAGCATAAATTGATACTTATAAGAGGCATAAATAGGCAAAATTTGCCTGATCACATGGAAAATATTCATTAACCTGGAAGATTAACTTGGTTTTCTTCTTCATTACCATTTTGATCTCTTGAGTAAACAATAAAAATAGATACTTTATTTTCTACTAAAATATCTATAACCTGTTCAAAAGACGAATTCAAAAGACAAATGAATTCAAAAGATAAATAATACTAACACAATTATAATCTTTTAATACATATCCAATTTGTTGTTCCCTTCCTAATCAATTGCTCCAGTGACCATACTTATATGTGTGTTTCATGTGAACTTTGCATAAAAAGAAGACCACACAATACAACATTGCTTTTGTTTATTTTCTTTATAATAGCCCAACAGATTCTGGAATCACTAAAAGTTTGTGCTATAAATAATTTTTAAAAAGTGTAAGTAGTAGATCTCTAAAAATTAATTTTATTACTAATGGAAAATAATCATGATGATCTATTTTAAAATATATAAATTAAAACTTCTGAAAAAAAGATTTTGATTATTACAAACAAATGAAAGTGAAAGTCACTGCAGATTAGCTTAAAAATAGGATTGACAGAAGCAAGCAGAATTGGTCCTGAGACAGTGGTTATTACCGTACTTGGGAAAATTGATCAGCTAGCTGCCCCTCTGAACAACATCGCACCGGATTTAATCCATCGTGTTTTGGAGCTACCATCAGCCAGTGTAAACTGGTTGACAGAAAAAAAGTAGGGCCAGTGCTGTGTCCTAGGTCTTATGCTATTTGGAAATAGACTGTTTGTTATTTGGTCGTCTCTTTACATGCTTTGACTTAGCAAGTTGATAGAGTTCATCTTCTTCTCTTTGCTTATTCCCCACTGGTACAGTCAGAAGATACAACATCTTTGAGTTACACAGCAACAGGCCTCAAACCCAACACGATGTATGAGTTCTCAGTCATGGTAACAAAACACAGAAGGTCAAGCACGTGGAGCATGACGGCCCACGCCACCACATATGAAGCAGGTATGTGAAGAGAGTCTTACTTCCAAATTTCGATTTTTGATGGTGTTTCCCAGGTTTTTTGGAAGTTGGAACATATGTGCATTAGGATGTTTAAGTTATACCTTATCCTGCAGAAAATATTTCATACGCTGTAGTTCAAAGCACTTTTATATCTAGTATTATCCTCCCCACTCTAGAAAAGAAGAAAATGAATCCCCAGAGGTTTGAGTAATCTGGTTTTAATCTGGGCATTAACTCTGGAGATCTGAATATAAATCTTTTTTTCAATCCCTTTAAGTAAAGGCAGAAATCCATGCACTGAACTCTGTCCAAAACATTTGAGTCTTTGATTAGCAGTCATGGTGGGTATTTACTTTTTTGGAAAGAAATTAGATACAATAATACATTACAACCATAATCGCATTGGTGTTTACCATAAATAACCTCAGTTATGGGTATGGGAAGAAGTTTCTGGGTGGTTATGTTCACTCCTTAGAAATAAGACAATGCAATGGAAAAACCTTCATGTAATTTGAAATAGTTCAAATCACAGGAAAATGTAATTCACTGTAAATTTTACCAGTCACATTTACTATGGATCATAAATGTTGAATTTGTAACCTTAACAGACGTGCAGTGCACTTGGCTTTTACAGTTCACAGAAATCCAAAATCTGAAGAATACAGGGTTCAACCAGCTGTTTGATTGGTTTCATGGTACTCTATTTAGGGGTAAACTACACCACACATTTCCAAATTTAAAAATATATATACCAATAAAACTCTCTGAGTAAGTTGAATTTCTTTTTCCATTAGAATTTGTCCCCTGGCAGTTCATTTATTCCAAACTACTACCTTAACTCAGAGAGTTCATTATTAATATTTCTTATATTTTTGTGGATACTTCTTTCTATAAGAAGTTTTCTAGTTTGTCTGATTTAATTTCAACATCCTTTTTTTTTTTTTTTTAACTTCTTCTATTTTACATGTTTACATGTATTAACTCTTTCTCCTAAAAGTCTGCCCTGGATGCCAATATTCACAGCTTCTTAGGAAGAATAAGACATGATAAATGGGTTATGTTTTATGGGGAGAATAAGGGCCCTGCTCTTCTTTATTACTTAAAAGGAGATGAAAGGAATTCAGCATAAACCAGTAAGACATTTGGTCTTCCCTGAGCGAAAGAGAAGGAGCAGTAATTTCCTCTTAAAGCAAGCAAATTCATTCATTTTTCCCTTTCATAAACATAAAGTGCACCCTATCATCTGGCTTGATAAATATATCCTATTCATTTCTCATCAACTGCCTAGCCTTGTAGGGACACCAACGGTGAGACCCATTGCTGACAAAAAGATATTAACTGCTAGAGAGTGGTTAATAGGAAGATGATTGTCAAAACAGATAGTGATCTGGACAAAAGTGTAAATAGCATGTGGATGAGATTCCTGGGTGATGATGAGAAGCAAGAAGTAATTCACAAGTGTCTGCAGGCTTTATAGCTGTGAGAAGGAGATGAAGTGAATGAAATAATTCTAGGTTTGCTTCTAATTCTGCAGTAACATAAAGACTGTATGGGACTGCATAGTTGTGCACTTGTGCTGAAGTTGCTTGTGATAAAGGTAAGAGTGTTTGGCAAATCCTTGAAATAAAACACTTCATTCTGTCGAGGTGATAAATCCTTAATTTTATTCTAGTTAAGTAAAATAGAAAAAACTGGAAGGACACCTGAAATAATGCAGAAAAAAACAAAAATCCTGAAATAACATAAGAAATACAACCACAGAGTTTTGGCTAAGTTGGAATCCGAACAAACAGATCCAAGGATAAATCCTGTCTGGAGAAATAAAGGGAGGTTTCACAAAAGAAATAACAGTTGAGCAATGGCCTGGGTGGATCATCAGGTACCCATACCAGGGACTTCAAAGGAAAGGAACAGCATGTACAACAGTACCAAGCAAGGATCAGAAAGATGTCTTCTAGAAGAACCTATGCATGGCTCAGCGTGAGTAGAGCACGGATTCATCAGACAACAAGGGGAAATGACGCTGTAAAAGAAAGTGCATTAAATACCAGGGCCCGATATTTATTATTTGTTATTTATTTACATTTTTAAGACTTATTTATTTAGGGGCGCCTGGGTGGCTCAGTCATTAAGCGTCTGCCTTCCGCTCAGGTCATGATCCCAGGGTCCTGGGATGGAGCCCCGCATCAGGCTCCCTGCTGGGCGGGAAGCCTGCTACTCCCTCTCCCATTCTCCCTGCTTGTGTTCCCTCTCTCACTGTATCTCTCTCTGTCAGATAAATAAATAAAATCTTTTTTAAAAGAAGACTTTATTTATTTGAGAGAGAGAGAGAGAACAAGCAAGAGAGAGCAGGAGCAGTGGGGGAGGGGCACATTTTTGCTATAACACATCTTCTTTTCCTGCAAGAATGTCCTTGTTCTTGTTTCATTAAAACCATATACATATGCAGTTTCTTACTCAGGATTCAACTACACTAGACCTATGTCTGCTCCTCCTTCCGCTTCCTTTTTTTTTTTTCTTAATTTAAATATATTAAGTACCTTCTCAGGATATTATGATTAGGTGCAGCTTTGGTTAACCTGGAATACTAGTGGCTGTGAGAATCAGCGTATTAAAAATAAAATGTTATAAGAGATGGAAATATTTGGTGTCTCCTCCATTTGAAAATAGGGTTGCTCAGATTCTGCATGATAGGGCCAACACAAGAGCCAAAGAGAATAGGAAGAGTGAAGAATTCAGAATTAGGACAAAGTTGTACCTATCTTGTAATACAGAAGCATTATCATGCAGAGATCTGGAAATTCCTTCAGAATCTAACCATAGAACTTAGACATGTTCTGAAATTTCACATGTCAAACTAAGGGTAATGAAAAGAGACTGTCAATAATCAACTTGGAGTATTATGCATTGCCTCAAAGGAAAACTCACTGCATTTCAAAGCATAGACTGAAAATCAGATCTAAAGAAGCCTGGAAGATACTGGACTGGCCTGGCCAGTTTACTGCCACATTTAAAATACATTTAAATTTTTGTTGAGCAAAATATAGGAGGAAAAACAACTTTCTCTTTATTCTTCTAGGTCCTTGGCTGAGACCCCGCTGTAATAAAAGTTAGATTAATAACAGGAAGGCAAACAGGAGTTTAATAACATGTGCACCTCCTGGAGACATGGAGGATACCCAGGAACACTGAGTAACTCCCTGAAATGGCCCAAGCCATCACCTTAAATACAATCTCCAACTAAAAACAAAAGAATACTTTGGGGGTTAGGGAGCCAATAATGGGAGGTTTTCAGGCAAATCATAGTAAGCAAGGGTGTTGTTATTATACAGATTTAAATTCCTGCCTTCTCCCTAATAAGAGTTTCTAGAGATTTTATCATCCTCCTCTTCCGGGTGCAGAGAGGGAGACACTCTTATAAATACAAATTTCTCTTATAAAAGGGTAACATCTACTAAGTTTTCAGAGCTTTTCCTGTGTCTACTGTTTCTTAAAAATAATCGGCCTAAAATAATCCTTATGCCAAAGAGGCATATTTTGGGGTGATAAATTCTGGTCCCTTTCAACAACATGTGGGAAAATTAGCTCTAAGACCCCCATGGTCTCATGCCTTCTCCTTCCATGACAGGCTGATACTAAGACCTTCCCAGATTCCATACGTCCGTTTTCAAATATTCCTTTGCCTTCTTGCTAAGAGATATCTAATATGTTCACCTAAGCAAGATCTTTTAACCTGCATTTAAATTCATTCTTTTTTTTTTCCTTCTTCTTGCTTTTAAGAAAATATAGAATTAGGTGAATTTTTGTTTTAAAATCCTAAAGTTTTAACAGGACTCTGTCTCTTGGAGACATGTAGCCATCAATCTCACTAAGTATGTGCACATTTCTTTGTTCTTATAATGATTCTTACATGTTTAGCGTGGCACTCACTTGGAAATATCCATTATACTTTTCTCCTCTGTATTCATACATATTCTGTTCTACTCTCTATAGTTATACCATTGGAAGTCATTTAACTTCCATGGAAAAACATTCATTTCTATATATTTGTTTGGTTGCTTGTTTAATTAAAATACTTGAAATAAATCGTAAATGCTAAGATCAGCATGATATACTGCATGATGGATTCTGAGTGTCAACATCATGATTAGAAGTCCCATAAATGTCTGCTTTCTTTCACATCCAATGACAAGGCCTTGTCTCTGTTTCATCTCGCAGCCCCGACCTCTGCTCCCAAGGATTTGACAGTCATTACTCGAGAAGGGAAGCCTCGTGCTGTCATCGTGAGTTGGCAGCCTCCCTTGGAAGCCAATGGGAAAATTACTGGTAAGCATCTCTGCTTTATTTCCAGCATTGCTTTGCTTGGCCTGCGATTGCTTACCCCATGTGCATGGCTCATGCCTTTTGTGTATTAGTTTTCTGTGCCAGCATCTCAGTGGACTTCCCCGCCCTTTCTGGTTGTCTCTTCTTGCCCCCTGCTAACCATGGAATTTCTTCTAATGGTGCCTACAAATACACATTTCATTTGAGTTGCTTTCTGAAGGATGTGTATTTCAATTAGTTTAGACCTTTTGTTTTTCATCTTGTGGAGCATTGGGACACTCTTCTAATGGAATGTCTCTAAGCATAAATGACTAAAACGAAGCCAGTTGTTTGGCAATTACAAAATACAAAAGACACCTAATGACCGTGTATTTTTGAATAGCACATACAAAGGAGGTTTGTCTGGGGGTTTTTAGTTTCTCACTTAGCTTTTAGCTTCTGACTTAAATCATAAGGTTCGTAAAATACTTAATATTGACTGACAGAAATTGAACTTAATGAATATTTCACAGTGACAGATTTTATTTTGCCAAATATTGCTGATAACATCAATGCCTAATTAAAGCATCCATTAGAAGCCTGTAATGTTAATTTAGTATGAAAAATATAATGGAGTTCTATCAGGGATTTTGCATTTAAATGATCACTTTAGGCTTTTAATAGATGTCTCCATAGCATATAATTATTATGAAAAATATTGTATAACTAAAAATGTGCACAGTATAGTCTAATTAACTTGAACCATTGGGTTAGGCACATGTAAGAGTCACTCCTTTTTCTTCTTTTTTTGCAAAGAAGAAGTGGATAGCACTATTATAAATTAACAAAGTAATTCAGTCATTTTGTGATAACAGAGATAAGCATGGAAATTATAGTTCAGATGGCACACTTACTTTGTATGAGTTACTTTCTGGATTTTCCAAAATGAAAAGATAATGTGAAAATTCCAAATGTGATTTAAATTTAAGCTGAAGACTTGTTTTCTCTAGAAAATTGTTCTGAGTGCAATAGCAAACAGAAATTTCATTTGAGCTGACAAATATGGAAAAAGAAGAGGGATATTAAATCTTCCCAAAATTGTATATGCTTAGTTGTCACTCTGCCAGGCTTTTTAAAACTGAGGCTGGCTCATTCCAATTTTCTTTTTCTTTTTCCCGTCAATGTTATGATTTATTTTCACTGGTTCTATTTCAGTACTTTTGTAGATTTTGATTTGTTTACATGGTGACTTTTTTATTATGTTATAAACAGTAATTTATAAGCATATGGTAAATCAATAGATAATAAGGTTAAGAAGAAAAAAACAGAATAGAAGTTGCCTAAATAAAAATGAGTTCTCATGAGAGACGATGGACTCTGAAAAACAAACAGGGTTCTAGAGGGGAGGGGGGTGGGGGGATGGGTTAGCCTGGTGGTGGGTATTGAGGAGGGCACGTTCTGCATGGAGCACTGGGTGTTATGCACAAACAATGAATCATGGAACACTTCATCTAAAACTAATGATGTAATGTATGGGGATTAACATAAGAATAAAAAAAAATGAGTTCTGATGGAAAAAATATATTTTTTTTAGTAAAGGATAAAATAAGCCATATACTACCAGAATTCTCATCTCTTATTTAAATAAACCTCATCAAATAGTCAATGTAAACAATAGAATGTGTTTTCAACTCTGGAAGAAGCTTAGTTTTGCTTTTTTGAGGGAAAAAATGGAAGTCTGCCTCATGTTAAGAAATGCAAATGAATCTAAGCAATAAAATACTGTGTGCCAAAATTGCAACCTTCTCCACATATTTTATTTAGAGTTGTATGTTCAGTATCCCTTCCCTCACAATGGTAAAGTAAAAGTATGGAGGCAATACTTTTTATCTTTAAGAACCTAGTTCATTTATTAAAACCAAATTATTATTTTCAAGTTGAGATATTTTGACTCAAGTCAACAGGGAGCAAACATTAAGAACCCTTAAGACAACTTCTTTTCCATATATATTTTTATTCTTTCATCAAATTACTTCCAGAAAACAGGATGATAAAATATTCAAAATACCATATAGCAGAGGGCCCAGATTTACTACACTCGGTTTCTCATTAAAGTACAAAGGAAACGGGAGCTCTTTCCCAGTGTGTCAGAGCATGTGTGTTGCTATGCAGAAGAAGGTGCCCACATCCTCCCTTTATATTTCTTTGTTTAACCACATCCCTGCATGTACACAGACGTAAAGCAGGGTGGTTAAGGACCCAAGCTTCTGAGGGAGATGCCTGGGTAAGTTAACTTTCCTAAGTTCACTTTCTCATCTATAAAATAAGGATAGTAATAGAACCTCTTTTTGTAGAATGTAATAATGAAGTGCTGAGAAAATTCTCTGATGTCCAGTGAGAACTAAAACAAATGAACTATTATTATTCCCATTTGAAATCCATTCTAGGGTGAGGCTTTATTAATGTACTCTGCATAGAACCCAGATCATCAATTTGTAAATATATATACTTCAAAAAGATCAAACAAAAAAAAAAAGAGGACAAAGAAGGAGATCTAGATAATGCCAATGCCTAAATTCCTTGATTATAAACTGTCAGTTTAGGAATTTGGACTGACATTTTCAGGAGAGAATGGTTCAGAATGAATTAAGCATTCATTTTATGCTTGGCATCCTGCTAAGCACTTTAGTATTGTTAAGTGATCCTATCTTCCTGTTATTCCATGTTGAAATGAAGAGATGAGTGGTTTCTAGGGTAAATAACTTCCCCAAAGTCAAATAACCAAGAAGTAACAGAGCTAGGATTTAAAATTCATGTTCAGACTCCACTATGTTTTGCTCCAGCTTATTAGTATTCAACTAGTCCAAATCAGTGATTCTTAACTGATTTATGATTTAATTTATCTGAGGAAGGATTGAGCATGCTATATTTTAAAAGCTTCCCAAGTGATTTTAATGTACAGCTAGGGTTTTGAAACATTGATCTAAATAAATGCAGCATCCAACATTATTTATGATCAGAGACCAACATAGTTAGAAGAGTTAGGTCTTCAGGGATTGTTTCCCTATCAGTATTTTCCAATGGATAAGATTATGTTATCTTTTTTTGTGTGTCATGTGATACTCTAGTCCATTTCCCCTTTCTTGAAATTCTCTTCTCCACTTTTTTAAGATCATCTACCCACTTTTCTTCCCAATTTCAGGCTACAGCTTCTTGGTCTTGTTAGCAAACATTTCTTCCATCTGTTTCTTTTTTTTTTTTTTTTAATATTTTTTATTTATTTGACAGAGCGAGAGATAGCGAGAGCAGGAACACAAGCAAGGGGAGTGGGAGAGGGAGAAGCAGGCTTCCCGCCGAGCAGGGAGCCCAATGTGGGACTCGATCCCGGCACTCCGGGATCATGACCTGAGCCAAAGGCAGATGCTTAACGACTGAGCCACCCAGGCGCCCCCATCTGTTTCTTAAGTAGATCTTTTTAGTCCCTTTGTTACTTTCTCTGAAAAAGTGTGTATAGTATAGCCAGGGCTTCAGTGAACACAAACTTATGTCTCTGAAATCTGTATCTTCATCCAAGGAATTCTAAATACACATATCCTACCTCATATTGTACATTTCCACTTGCCTGTCTTATTGGCACTTCCTTCTATTCCCCAACCCGTCTTTCTCTCCCTTTTTTCTCTTTTTTTCTTTTCTTTTTTTTTTTTTTGTTTCTTTGTGGTGGTGTTTTTTTTTTTAATCTAGACCCTACCATAACCAGCCAAATAATGCACTATTATATTCTGTAATAGGTTGTAAGACCACCCAGGATTGTGGACCAAGCTGGGCACTCACTGCAATTATATGTGTCTAACTATTCTTATTCCCATCATATAAAAATTTTTCATGTTTATCCAGTTGCAAAAGTTGGAAATTTAGCCATCTTGACTTCTTCCTCTATGTCCCCTTTCCATATAATCAGTAGAGATAAATCTAAATGCTCCTAATACAGGGCTGAAAATTCTATGAGAACAGGTTTCAGATTTTGTTTAAAGCTTTCTCTTCAGTATCAATATTCTTGACACTTGGTAGGTAATTAATAAATATTTGTTGAGTAGAATAATCATTGACTTGCTATTAAACCTATTGTTGACTTGAAATAAAAATTCAGCTCTTCCAAATATAATACTTCCTTAATTACTAATATTAAGAAAAAAAGGGCGCCTGGGTGGCTCAGTTGGTTAAGCGACTGCCTTTGGCTCAGGTCATGATCCTGGAGTCCCTGGATCGAGTCCCGCATCAGGCTCCCTGCTCGGCAGGGAGTCTGCTTCTCCCTCTGACCTTCCCCCCTCTCATGTACTCGCTCTCTCTCATTCTCTCTCTCTCAAATAAATAAATAAAATCTTTAAAAAAAAAAAAGAAAAAAAAGAAGGGAGGAAGGGAGGAGAAAAAGAAAGAAAAACAGAAAGAATAAATGTAGCATTTACTAAGTAGTCACTATATAGAAGATAACATGTTAGGAATACCCACATATATTAATTTCTTAAAATACATTATCTCACAGCAACTTATTTTCAGATGAGAAAATGGAGGCCTACTTAGATTAAGCAAGGTGCTCAAGGTTGCAAAGTCAGGAAATGAAAGACCTATTAGTTAAGGTCAGGTCTTCCTGAATCCATAGCCTGTTATTTTTTAATAATTTTTTAAAAATTTTTTATTATTATGTTATGTTAGTCACCATACATTACATCATCAGTTTTTGATCTAGTGTTCCATGATTCATTGTTTGTGTATAACACCCAGTGCTCCATTCAGTACATGCCCTCTTTAATACCCATCACCAGGCTAACCCATCCCCCCCTTCCCTCTAGAACCCTCAGTTTGTTTCTCAGAGTCCATAGTCTCTCATGGTTCGTCTCCCCCTCCAATTTCCCCCCTTCATTTTTCCCTTCCTACTATCTTCTTTTTTTTTTTTTTAACATATAATGTATTATTTGTTTCAGAGGTACAGGTCTGTGATTTATCAGTCTTGCACAATTCACAGCGCTCACCATAGCACTGCTTTTTTTTTATTTTTTTTATTAGGAAGGAAGAAATGGGTCCTTCATTATGTATTTATCTATAGACATGATTATCAGAATCAATTTTTGAAAGATGAGGAGCTCTCACTGGGCTGAGCTCCTTGCTGGTAGGCATCATCTTGGTCTTCCTGGTACTTAGCAGCTGAACCATGGAAGGGAATCAGTGATCTATGGGAAGAAGTATGGAAAAAGACAGAGGAGAGAGGTGGAATTGAACACTTTCTGACACTTTCTTTTTACAATTACAACAACCTCTTTGTAGAAGTAGTCAAAAATGACATATGTATGGTGTTAACATTTCATATATATATTTAGACAAATGTAATTCTAATGCGGGAATGCCCACTTGAGTTAACAATCTCAGGCTTATTACCTATGACGGGAGATAGTTCTCATTATTTGGCTAGTTATGGTGAGTAAGAGACAAAAATGAAGTAGAAAAAAGTAAGAGAAAAGAATGAAGAAAGAAACTTGGACACGGGGAAATGGACATATAGGTACAGAAAGTTTCCGAGAAACCAATGAATTTGTTCCAACCTATGTGGATACAGAAATCTCTACAGTAGGACTTCAATAACAGATTTAATATTCTCTAAACACACCAAACTCATATATCCAGATAAAATTGTATGCTTTCCCTAAGGCCAATTTTTAAAGTTTGGAATGTTGTACTAGTATATTCCTATTCTGCATCTCAGTTCTCAAATTTACACAGATCGATTCCCCATAAATACCAGGAAATCACTTCAAATACAGTTTGGAATTGTCAGAACCTGATGCTTGTACCTTCAGTTGTACTTATTTGATGTCAGAACTATCATTTTTAAATGGTTAATTGAATACTTTTTACAAAGAAAAAAACCCTGAAAACACAAGGAGGGCAATTATTTTACTTCCATTTGGCAAATAAACAAAATCAGAAATAAATGTAGCTGACCTGGGTTGAGAACAATTCTCCAAACTTTCCTTGTCATCGGGCATTTACAACAGCCCATGATAACTCTACAGTTGCATTAAATGTTATGAATGTAAAGCATCCGTGCTTACTGGCTAGAGGATTTCATTCAATAAGTGAGTTTCAATACCTATTATGTGAAGACAATTTTATTGGCTTCTCTGAAGAATAAAGGGTAACATAAGATATGGCTCTTGAACTAAAAGAATGTTTTTATCCTTTTGAAGAGATAAGACATGCACGTAATAAAAGTTAAAAAAAAAAAAGTATTACCAGTACTAGGGTGTTCTATTCAGTAGATGTGGTTCTTTGGGGACAAGAATGGAGACTATTCTGATTCAAAAAATATTAGAAGATTTTATTGATATTGATCATGGGGGCCGAGTTATAAATGAGTCAGAAACAACTCCTTTGCCCAGTGATATTTCACAATCCCTTTTGAACTGTAGTATTCCAATTTTAATATTAACCAGAGAGTCCTACAACCTTTGAGTTATACAGAATTCTTTACCTTCGTCTTTTATCTTTTCCTGAGCGGTCTGCATTATAAGACATTCATAGCTGCAGCAGCAGCATCTCAATGAATGCCAAAAATATACAGATTCCACATATCGACTAAAGCAGTGATTCCTGACCTTACTCGAACACAGAAATCATCTGGGGTGCAGATTGCCAAGGTCACCATTAGCCTATTATGGTATCGATTGCTGTGTAACAGTATCATCACAGATTTAGCAGCTTAAAAATGTATTTGTTATCTCAGTGTTTCTGTCAGTCAGGAATCCATGCACAGGATTTATAGACCACAGAAACCTTGTATTTTTAGAGATGATATTTTTATTTTGAATGGTCTGTTCCGTTTTCAGTTTCTGTACATTGAGGCAATGATTTGTCTAATCTTTGCAATATCAAAAAAAATATTACTTCCTTAAATGAATACTGTAGTTTATAGACTGTGAATGTATAATAATCATTGCACATTATATTTGGGAAACATGAGTGTTTAGAAGCAGAAGTATAGTATGCAGTCAGTACCCTAAACCCAGTCGCATTCATCTATTTCTGCAGCTTACATCTTGTTTTATACCTTGGACAAGAACATACCAATTGACGACTGGGTGATGGAAACAATCAGTGGTGATCGGCTTACTCACCAAATCATGGATCTCAACCTTGACACAATGTACTACTTTCGAATTCAAGCACGAAATGCAAAAGGAGTGGGGCCTCTCTCTGATCCCATCCTCTTCAGGACTCTGAAAGGTTTGAATCATTTCCTAGTACAGCAGTGCCTTTCTTTTCCTGTGGGATGGTTGTAAAATCCTTACGGAGTCTGCATTAGGAACTGTCTGCCTTCTCTGTTGGCAACATGACTACAATGGACATTCAGAATAAATTAAAATGTACCTTTTCATGCTGAAAGCCAGCATGTCAGAGAAAGATCTATTGTGTTATCACATTTTCTGCCTTCAACACAAGGCAGGTGTATTTAACTTAACTTTTTTTCCCCATTTACAATCTTTTTGGAATTCTGTATTGATTTCAAGTATATTGGCTCTATTCAAAATATAATGAAACTTTTTATGTAAGGAAATAAAAATTAAAAAGCATTGAATTATGTGAATGCCATACTACTGCCAGCCTTAAATGTTTCCTTTGAGGAACGATTGTCCTTATATATAAAAAGAAAATTTGATATGGCAAGACAGAAAATCTCAAACAAAATGAACGTGTTTATTTCAAGGACCTAGGAGAGCAACAAGGGGGAAAAAAAAGAGTCTTTACAGTATTATTTCTAGAAGAAAACGCCCCGTGCTTGCAAGAGTAAAAATAGCTGCTCAATTCAAGCATAGCTACATGTTCATACAGAAAAAATGCTAAGGCCCTGACTACATCAAAATAATCTTCATGGTAGTCCTTACTATTTTAGAACAGTATTATTTTTCTGGAGGACAAATGGTTTCAAGAGCCTCTGTTATTTAACAATTGAAAAAAAAAAGGAATGTTCCATAGCTGGTATTTAAAGTTGTATATTTAGGCATGATGTGTGTTGTTCTAAAGAAGGATACTTGACTCTTAAATCTGTGACCACATATGTCTATCTATATATCTGGCTAAGTTGATAATACATGATGGCAAACAACTGAAAAATTAGAAACATGAGGATGGTTGACATTTCCACCCAGGTGCCTGACATATTAAGAGAAGAGTCTTAGAATAATTGTATAGTCATTCAATTCCCCTAGGAAAGGTACCCTAATAAATAGTGGACTTTTGAATTCTGGTGAGGGAGCTAGCCATTCAAGGCTGGACTTGGTAACAGCTAATCTGAAAGTTCGCCAAGAACACACAAACAAGCATTCAGCCTAAGCCTTCGTGACAGTTCTTAGCGACAGAGTAGAAATTGGGGAGGGAGGCAGGAGGAAATGAGCTAATCTTCTTCTCTCTGGGTTTTTAGGACTTCATGTCTAAATCAGGTTTCACTCTAAATGAGCAATCGAAAGGAAACTGGTTATTCATTTTGTGGGAGCATGAAATGTAACTAGATACTGTTTCACAAATGCTTCATCTTTATCTATAGGCAAGTGCCAAATTAATTTCATGCTCACATTGTGTGCCAACTAGAGATCTCAGGGAGGGTTTAGGATGACTTAAGGCATCCAAATGTATTAAGCAGCAGAGTGATGAGTTATCACAGGATTTACAGGCCCACACTGATAACCATCCTGGAGATTATTTAATGAACTCCACATCTCATTTGGTACTGTTTACCTTAAGTGCTCTAAACTCATCTATAAAATGATGTTCAGAACTGAGAACAAATTCAGGAACTTGTTATGTTGTAATAGTTCACAAGCATTATTTCTAATATCCTGATTTGAATGTTTAATATTGTCTATCCTCAGTATGTCATGCTCAATTAATAGTCAATTAGATTTTAAAACAAATCTTGCTCATATGGCAAACCAAGTTTCAGATGTCTTGATTGCATTCTAAATTATTTAGAGATATTGATCTTACCCATCTTTATCAATAATTGACATTGTACATGCATGCATCCTACATGTTACAATGACAAATATTCTAAGGCAAATAAATTACTCTTAAGAGATTCAAAGCCACAGTGAACCAAATCTACACTAAACACATCACATCATGTTACTGCTCTCTGATTTAAGATTTTCAGTTTCCAAAGCTGCTTCAAAACATAAGGCCTCTGTTCATCAGAATGTAACTTTGTTTGACAGCAAGAAAGGCTCACATGTTATCCTGAAGCTGAGAAAGCTCTCAGTAGTCTACTGGGTAACAGGCAAGTGTTTCATTGCAAATCATGCCCCAGGCAGGTGTCTACAAGCTTCATTCTTTCATATGCAGTCTTTGCAAAGACAGTAGCATTTACTACTAGAAGACTAGAGTTTTGTCTTTGGTTTTAGCCACCAGCAAGAGAGGTATAGGAAACTCAATCCATAATCACTGGTTAATGAAAAGGACATTTATTATTAAAAGGGGATTAAATTACAATACTCTTGTGTACATGCGTGTATGTGGTACATCTGATTGTTTCTTTGGAATTAAAAGAATCTTGAACTTGATTCTCTGACCACACAGGACTCTGCAAATATACATCTCCCTTCTGCAAATAGTCCCCATTAGGATACCCATACACCGTGAAACCCTTGGAAGATGTACAAGAGGCATGTCAATCTCTGCCTCTCATGTGGGTTGTTCTCTTGGGTAAACTGAGCTTCTCCATTTTGGCCTGTCAAATAATAGGAAGAAAGGATGCTTCTGCTGAAACAGACCAAAGTGGAATTCTATAGTGGGATGGAGTCACCTCCTACATACAAAAAAGCTGAGTGTTCAGCAGTGAAAGAGCACTAGACTGTAGTCTGTTCTCTGGGCATCTTTAATCATCATTCTGAAATGTGCATCTTTCCCATCCAAGGATGTAGAACTGAAAGTTCCATATCAGAATACAGGAAAGTTTTAGTCTTCACATTATTTTTGACAAAATACATGATTTTCTTGACAAATGGCAGGAGCAAATAAAAAGTCAAGACCCAAATTATGATACTTTTAAGCCATTATTCATGTTTAATAAACAGTAACTTTTAGGATATATTTTATCCCTTTTGGAAAATACTCTTTAGTTGATAACCTTTTTTGAGACATTCAAAATTTCTCAAGTTATATCCAGTCCAGATTGCTAACAGTAAAACAAATCCAGAAGGTAAGAATGAGGATGCTATTGTTGCCCATAACATATATTTATTTGTCACTTGGTAAAAATTTTCTTAGACTGTAGATAATGTGTATGTATAATTAAAGATGAAGGGAGAAAGGAAGAATGAAAATCGGATGAGATTGATTTTCTTCTCTCTTTTTTTGATATCATTCCAAACATTTCTCCCCTAAATATGAGATGCTGATTAGGGTAGTTTCTCAAGTGTGCCCTGTTCTGGCTGCCAAACTTTTACCCTTCCTGGATTGTGTGGTCACATGTGATTCCCAAATATCCTCCTCATTCTTACCAGAGACCTGGTTTGGCACATCCTACAACATAGTATCCTTTCTCAAAAACTATGTTAGGATTTCAGTGAAAACCCTATCCCTGTCTATAAACTACAGATAATGCAATTGCCTATCAAAACCACCTTTCATCAATAATCCCCTAATACTGTAAAAAAAAAATCTTGAGAAATCATTAGTCTTTAATGGGAAATAGGAGACAAAATTAAGATAAAAATTAAGTTGTGATGATTAGACTAGGAAAGAGTAGGTTGGACGGCCTGGTGAATTAAAAAAAAAAAAAAAGTTTGTTAAATCTTGAGGAGCTACAATGACATTTAAAAACTTACATAAAACTGGTAGAATCTTAATATAATAAGCACTCTTGTATGTGTGCTGTTTCCCAAAGAGTCATTCAGAGTTCAAAGTCTACTACTTACTAAGATAACTTTTCTTGGTCTATCCTTTTTCATAGAATATGTTTATGGATTATTTTAAAATGAAGGAAATTGTAAGTGATAGAAATTTGTAACTAAGTTTAGAATTTTTCTATGAGGTGACATTCATAAACCCTGTTCATCTGAAAGGGGTATTTATTAACAACATCATTTTTTGAGTATTTCCAGTCTACATATTCTTCTGGGCAATGATATGTGTCCCATCAATTAGCAAAGGAAGGACTACTGCTTCTAAGACCTTTGCTTTACCTTTCAAACAGTGATGATGGATTTGCTGGGAGACTGCCACCCCAAATGAGAGAACCAGGGTGCTTAGGTTATAGGTGGCTGCCCATGGGAACACTATCGTATTTTTCTCTGTGTGAGTTTAACTGACACATGTAAAGAAGCCAACAGCAAGTGTAGTAGCCTAAATGTCAAGTTTTAGTGCAATTGAGTTCAATAAACCCAGAAGATTTGAAGCCCAAAGGAACTCAAGTATAGGGGAAATCATTCTAATTGATGGAAACTGACAAAGATCTACACTGGTCAAAATGTCCTCTCACAATTTCTGTAAAAGCAGTGATATTGTGAATTTACCTCCTATACAGTTATATTTGGTTAATAGAAAAGAAGCCACTTAAAAAATGTTAAAGATATTTTTTAAATGAAAAAAAGTCATTTTCAAGAACATTATTCATAATGTACTTGAAGTTGTGAGCAGGTAAGAATTCTCTTCATAAGGTCTAAAAATTTATTAAACCATTTAGATCAAGACACATTTATGATATTCTCTTATTTTACCCTATCCATGTGAGATTGGTTAAGTTCTCTGGTTGAAAAAAAAATTGAAGACAAGAAAATAGCCTCTTTACCTTATTTAAAATATATGGGTGATAATTACTTGGTGATCATATGAGTTTTCACGTACTGTATTTTTAATTAAACTTACAAGATGATCATTTTGAGTTGATGTGTAGAGGAATGAAACAAATAACATATTTTTAAGAACATATATAGCAAAAACCATTTTCAATTTTTCTCCTCTGACTACTATTTAATAGAAATAATCACATCAACCTTGATTCCTTATCAATTTTATTTCAACAGCGCTTTGGCCTTGATATGAACACTTGCTCACAAAACTGTCGATTTGAAGTGTCAGCTTCCTTGCTAAGAAGTGTCAATGTCTAATAATATTTCTTTCTCCCCCACAGTAGAACACCCTGACAAAATGGCTAATGACCAAGGTATGGTGGCTCAATCTGTCATCCTTTCTCTGCTTGAATCAATTCTATCTGCTAGAAATGTCAGTCATTATTTTGCATTACTTTTTTTTTCACCTGGGCCATACACCTGATGAAGCAGACAGTGGCGTGATAATTAATCTTGCTAATGAAGTTCTGTTTGGCTGAAGCTGCTGGTCTGTTGGGAAGATGTAAATTTTCTTGAGAGGAAATTGTTTTGTCTCTATTCTGAAGGACCAATTAAAATGTCAAGCTTCTTTGTATGAAATAAATTTTTAGTCTCTGTCTGCACTTCTGAATAATTCACATTAAGTATAATTAAGCTCAGCATAATTTTCAAGCTGCTCTTATACCCTTTCATGAGCTATGGATTAAAGTTCTGTAGCTCCACAGAGAAAAACCATAAATCAAGTGTGCTTTTTCTCTACAGTGAGCTTCTTTTAATAAATAAAAACAAAGTTAGGACAACTTTTTTAGGGCATTACTATTGTTCATTTTGAAGTCAGAAAGCTTTCACTCTGTGAATCAGATGCTAGCTCGACTCAGAGTATTTTATTCTCCTTCCATTCTTTTGCTAAAAGCTGATTCGTGTAGAGAAATAGGCATGGCTTTACACAAAGGAAAATGGAGATAAATAAGAGTTATCCATCACTTCACAGGTAGATAAGAATTTGCTATTATCATGATTTGCAGACTGATAAATTATTTTTACACTAAAGGTAATTGGTAGAATTCTAGAGGAGAAAAAGAATAGCTTATGAGCTGTATTTTTTCAGCCTGTTATATTCTTTAAAGAAGGGGGAGTTGGGAAGTATTTGCAACTTGTTATAGTCGGTGATGTACAGATTTTGTCCATATTTGTTGGCTCAGAGTCTACAGTTTGTGTCGTTTTTCTCCTGCTTTGGACAATCTCCTGTCAGCAGAACCTGCTTGTGGGCATCCTGTCTTAGAAGGCACCATCTTGTAAGATGGAGGAAAACATTCTTTTCAACAAGAATACTTTTTAACTTTTAAATATTAAGCATCTGGATATTAAGGCTCACTAACAGAACATTGTCTACATGAGTAGTATTTTATTTAATGATTCTGTGTTCAGGTTTATCCCTGGGTCCTTAAATCATACCTCTGCTTCAGAGAACATGGCTGGGACTTCACACATGGAAGTAATAAAAATGAACAATACGCAGAAATATCTACCCAGAGTTCACATTTACATTAATCACCTAAACGTACTTCCTGCTTACTTCTACTTAAAATATCTTTGTAAGACCAATATCTACTAAATGGTAATATTTGTGAACTATTAATGATGAATACTGATCAGTTAACCTGTATTTACATAGGAAAATTAAGTATTAGTGCTGGCCAGATCCAAAGCTGGAATAATTAACTAGCAAAAGTGGTTTTATTATTTCATTTATAAAATAATTAAAACAACCTTGCATAGACTTCTTAAATGAATTTGGAACTTCCACAGGTGGATAATTCCTGATTTTTGAAATTATACTTAGAGAAATATATATAGAGAGAGAAAACATACCAAAAAAATTTTTTAAGTCAGTGAACCAGATGAAATGTTACATTATTAGCCACTCGGGCAATGACATGCCCAAGGTTCTGAATAAATGGATTTTGCTGCTGTTTTTCAGTTAACTGTTTTGTTTAATATTATTTTAAGCTATCAAAAGTATGTTTTGTAAATCAGTCCTTTTATAAAAGAAAAAAAAAAGAGTAAATTATTCCCCAGTCTCTCTGATCACACACTCTCCATGGATTTTTCTCAGATTTTCATATCAATAGTGAAATTAGATCTGTTTTCAGGGAAAAGTCATTCCCAAGAATTATTGTCCATGGCTGAGTGTATTAATATTATTTGGGCAATTTTTCTTTTTCTTCATCTAATACCACTTAAAAGATTCTGTCACATATTATACTACTTGGTGCCTTATTCAATCACAGCTGGTATACAGTTGTTCAAACTGATAGGTTCTAAATTTTACATCAAACTCAAATCACTTGTGAAATTGAAAGGAACTGACAACCGATAATTTAGTGGTTATAAATAAGATCTTTAAATTCTTACAAAGAAAGCATATCAGATTTACTGGCCATCAAAAGCTCTTTGTAAACAAAATCAGTCTCCTGCGTTGATGACCATGTAGAAGAAAAATAACCCAGATTGGAGATCCTTCTAAGATTGATGAAAATAAGAGGAAAAAGCCATTCTGAATGTTCCCACTCTTAGCACAGAGCAAATTATTTGAATATGTCTTACTGTGCCCACTGTTAGACCTATTTGCCCTTCCCCATGGTGAAGTGATCTCACTGTTACATCTATGACAGGAGCTGAATTTCTGTTGAGAGAAAATTCAACACCTTGGGTCATAGTGAACCTTGCAAAGATGAATCCTAAATAGAAAAACAGGTCGAATTGAATTTACATGCGAGAGAGGAGGAAAAGTTCTGATTATTTTAACGAAGTATCTCTGTAGACTTTTGTCACAATTACTTTTTCTTGGAATCTGATATATGTCCTGAAGTACATAAATGGGAAAACAAAAAGTCAGTTATATTTGAATCAGCCATGATTTGAGGAAAATATTTTCTCCCAAGTAATAGCAATAGTAGTTTGAAAATGATAATTTGCATTGAACTCTTTTTCCCTCTGTGTAGTTATAAATTGATTATATCTAGCATTTACTTATCTCTCTAATCTCAGCCTCCTCTGTAATTCCCTGTTTTTTGCAGCCCCTTATCTCTTGTTACACATCCCAATTTTTTCCTCTAGTCTCTTCCAGGCACAAGTGGCCAATAATTTTGAAGGTGATCATGAGATTTTAGAGATTAACCACAGAGTTTAATTTTTAGGAAGGTCAGGTAGGATAGGGAAATTGTATGGGCTATGTCAAGTGAGTGCAGAGGACATAGAAATGCTGTGCCTTTTTTCCCCTTTTTTATTTTTCATATTTTGGTAAGAATCCTTTCTGTGTGTGTGTGTGTGTGTGTGTGTGTGTGTGTGTAAAATGGTAAAATGAACTCTTATGAAGGCCTACCACTGTCTCTGTTCACAGAATTCTCATTAAATCCTCACTGCTATACTGTGAGATACAATTATTGTTCTCATCTTAGCAATGAAGAAGCTGAAGCTCAGAGAGTTTCAGTCAATTGTCTATAGACACACAGCTAGTAAATAGCAAGGCCACGATTGAAACCCTGTTCTTAACCACGAGTATGTTCATCCCGTGTATGTATATGGATGCATACACAACCACAAACTCATGTTTAACATAGATTTGTAAGGTTGCTGTATCTGAAGTTTGTGTCTGGATATCTTCCCAGTATCAGCTTTCCTTTCCCCATCTCTGTGCATAGTCCAAAGAACAAAGAATAAAACAGCTTTCACTCTGGGGTCATCTTGTTAGTGAGAAGTCACAGCACTGAGTATGTGATCCTGACAGTCGGTTATCTCGGGAAACACAGGGATGGTGCTAATTCCACTGCCTTAGTCAGCTCAGGCTGCTTATACAAAACGCCACAGACTGGGTGGATTAAACAACAGAAATCTACTTCTCACAGTTCTAGAGGCTGGAAGCCCCAGATCAAGGTCCAGCCGAGTTGGTTTCTGGTGAGAGCGTTCTTCCTGGCTTGCAGACAGGTGTCTTCTTGCTGTGTCCTCACATGGCAGAGGGACAGCTGGTTCTCTCATCTCTCTTCCCCTCGGATCAGGGCCCTACCCTTGTGACCTCATTTAGCCTTAATTACTTCCATAGGGCCTCACACTGGGTGTTAGGAATTCAGCATGTCGTTCTGGGGGACAGAGGGGGAGCACGAACCAGTTCACAGCATCCGCCTTCAAAAAGAAAGCTCTTCTCTAACCCTCACTGATTATCTCCCCAGTGTTTCAGATGAGGAGGCAGAAGGCAGTGCCTTGCCTAAGGTCACACAAATAGAGTTGTGGGCAGAGGTGGATGCCAACATGCTTCTCTCTGACTCCCAGAGTGTAGTCTGTCCATTGTAGACTGCTGCTCTCTGTATGAAAGATGTGGCTCTTTGATTTTCTGTAATGAGCTTAAACCTTTTAGGGTTTCTCACAGAAGCATTTATAAAAGCCTCTGTTTGGGGCTGCAATGGAGGATGGCTATGACTATAAAATATGACCAATTCTCAGAAGTGATTATCATCAGATCAAACTTCTAATCTTAAAGGATTGTTTTTACACCCTTATGTTCTGTTTAACCCCCAAATGTTGCTCTCCACTTTGAGGTGTCCATGTGTAAAAAGTGGTCATTCTTAGCATGAACACAAATGTCTACAAGGTCATGTCTGTTTCCATGTCTGCCCATTGGGGCATGCAGAGTAGGTGTTAGGGCCATGTCACAGGACCTGAAAGAGGGCAGGAGCCTTTATGAAATGATCTGTGTCATCGCTGAGATGAATCAGGAAGAAAATGCTTGCTTCAAGCGCTCTCAAGTGTCTCCCCCTCTCCATGGCCTTCAGAGGGGTGATCTAAAACACCAGGGCTACAAAGGAGATGGAAATGCATAGCCCACTTTATAGATCTAGATGCAGGTGGCCTGCTGAGAACTGCCCTCCCACCAGGAGGGAGAATTACTCACTTCTGAATCATGGTAAAGGCTGATAATACCCTGGCTTTCCCATCAGCACCCAGTGTGTACTCCAAGAATGGTGGATTGGGCTCGGAGACCTCAAATTCTAGTGCCATCTTGTCACTGTGACCTGTGTGACTTTGGACATGTGACTGACCTCTCTCAGCATCCTCACCTGTCAAATGATGACGTTAGCCCAAAGTATCTTTTGTTTTCTTTCAAGATTTCAGATGATTGAACTAGAAGATTGGTGTTACGATAAAAAACTTGGACATAGCATCTTCACGCAGTGTAGTACTTCACATTGTTAGCATTCCCAGGATGCATCAATCATTCTTCTGTGCACCGTTCATGTGCTATCATATCGTCATAACATCCCTCCACATAAAGAAAATG